AGGTTAATGGATCCAATGCTCTCTCTTGCTTATCGATGATTTTTAGCTTGACATTGAACAGCTGCTTTGCCATTTTTATTAGATTTGATCTATGAGGATAAATTAAGGGAAGAGAGGTGCAAATGAGGATCAAACGATGATCAGACTATTCTACATACGCACCTTTATCAACCCTTAGCATGTTTCCAGTAGTTTCCATAGCTATCTCCTCTTATGCTGAATCTTTTTTCCTCTGGGCTTTTCTGAAGGTGGGGGTGAGGCCTGTGAAGTAAACTGGTTTTTTCCTTTAGTGCAGTGGGTTTTGTTTGTTTGTCTGATACTGGCTTTCTAGCTTTGATTTTGCAATGTTTTTTAAACACACATGTTGCCATGCCTTTATGCTAAAAGCAGACAGACCAAAGAAACACGTGCAACACTTAGAAAGTAGAAGAGCTTCACGCAGTACCGTAATAATGAGATTTTTATCCTCTTTTTTCTTTAGATTTTGTTCCCTGTCCCTTTCTTTGCAATTCCTAACATTTTGCATGCTTTTTGAACCACTGCCAAGCTGTGCATTGATGTTTTTGTGGCAGCATTTATTAGAGCCCCATGATGCTACTCCGGAGGGGTAAGAGCCAGCCAAGACCCCTCTGTGTATCACAGGGCATTTATCCACAGCAAGGTTCATCTCCTGTTTTCTTGATCAGCTTTATGGCTGTGTCCCTCATCCTCTCCTCATGCTCACAGTAATCTCTGTAACTTTTATTCTTGCCCCTTCACAGAACACTTCTGAGCTTGCTGGTGAGGGAGTTCTGCTAGTGGACTCCACCACAAAAAGTGACCATTTGTTTCTGACCTTTGCTTTCTTTCTTTCGTGTGATGTTTGTCCATGTGAGAAGCTGCCTCTTTGCCCATGCAACCCAAGGTTTTTGCCTCTGGTAAAAGATGTCAAATGTCTTTCTTTAATTTCTTTTAAGTATGTCAACCAGATCTCCCTTCCCCACAGAGGGACTTGTGAGGCTTGTTTGTAAAAGCTGCCTGCTTCTTCCCCTGTGTCATGCTAATTTTCTTCAAAATACCTTGATAGTTAATAGTGGTTTTATATATATATATATATACATTTATATGCATATATATAACTGGCCAGCTAGATGTTCTTTTCTGATTTCTCCATGTGGGTATAACTTCAGGTTTTTAAAGGATGCTTTTTGACTTGTAGCAGCCCTGACCAAGTTGCTTACCTATGTTCACATTCTTCTTAAGGCTTATAAATCCTCTGAGATATGATCAGCCCTGGGCTGGAATAGAAGTAAAAGTCTTGGAGGAGTAAATTGCAGGATTTAGAGGCTCTTATATCCATGGTCTTCTCAGCTAAATACTGAAGACTCCAAGAAAATCCATGTTTTACTACTGTCTCAGTGAGTGAGCTTCTCTGTGAATCCTTTAGATGGAGGTGAAATGGCAAAAAAAAAAAAAATTAAATTTTGTTCTGGGTTTCTTAATTTCTGGGTGGGAAAACCTGTTGCTTGAATCCAAGCACAAGAGAAGTCACCTCAGCTAAGATTTTAGAAGTAATGAGAGTTTAACAGGAGGAAAAATTGTGACCACCCATCAAAAACTTGGATGCAAGAATGCATGGGATAAAACTGAGTAAACAGAAAAAAAGAAAAACACTACAAAGCTTTCCTAATAATAGATTATGGCACACAAGCCAGACGTTTACAAAATGCACCAAACCCTACTTTCTAAATCAAGGAAGTGAGTTGACCTAATCTGACTGGATTTCAGGAAAACATTTGTTAGTATGCTACTTGAAAAAATAAATAAACTGAGGAAGATAGCAGTTGCTAAATTAACTCTTAATATGAATAAAAGCTTGCAAAGTAGTTTGGAAGGGAAAGTCTCAAGCTAGCAGAATGTTTATAGTGGACTTCCTTAACAAATGATCTCAGACAGATCTTACTAGTTATTTTCACTGACTACCTTAAATTAGGAATGATCAACCAAGGATACAAAGCTGGGCTACTGCCTGCTCAAAGTGGGGCAGTATTGGAACATATGTGGGGCAGTGGAATATTGTATAACAATGGGCATGAGAGACATTTTACATAATGAGCTTGACTCAGTACCTGGAACTCGGCCTATACCAAACTTAGGAAAAGTTCTTCAGTATGGTATTTTCACTATAAAGACAAACCAAGTAGTCAAGTTTCTTAGCTGCCCCACAGGCACAGAAGCAAAATAGACCAAATAAAATTGCTATATAAAAATGCCACAATACAAATGCCATGTAGCCAGTTCCAAGGGAAGGTAAAAAAAAAACCCAAAACAAAACAAACAAAAATAAAACCAACATATTTTTGCTTGTTTTAATTAGAGACAGTCATAATGTTAGTTAACTTCCACAAACACAGCAATCAAAATCCTCCAGATTCAAAAGAGAAAATTCTTATTTTTAGATGTTATTCAAGAGTGCCACACAAATCCTGTACATCCTCCTTCAATTTCACAAGCATCACCTGTAAACTGGAGATTAACCTACAAGATAAATAGAAACAATATAATGAGACACTAAGTCCATCTCCTCTGTTGTTCTTGTAAAAATATTTCAGAATTTAGCCTCTTGCTCCCAGAGCTGTCAAATGAAGCCAGTGTGGGACAGCGAGTCAGAAGTGCTGTACAGATTCTGGAAGGCTTACCTGAACTAACACACAGTGATGTGCTGCAGGTAACCTAATCCTAGAGACAACTCTGTTTCATGAGCCAAGCTAGCTCACCTGCAGTGCCCTGTGCTGTATCGTGTGCGTGTGCCAGCTCACGTCCATAGTCGTGCAAAGTGCAGAGAATCCCAAACAAATCTGGACATGCCGGGAAATTCAGGGGAAGCCCGTGGCTTGTATGAAAGTGATGACACCCTTTCATAAAAAAGCCTTTTGACACCCTTGTCATGCAATACCAGAATGATAGTGTAAAGGTCAAGGTCACAAGCTAGGAATGAAGAAGTTTTGCTGTCAGTATGCATAAAAAAAGGGTAAATTAGGTGTTTCAGTCAATCCTTAAGGCTTTTGAGATGTTGAGAGCAGGTAGGTCTAATATAAAAATAAATGCATTAAAAATCAGAATATTAGTTGCTTTGTGTCTAGGAGGCATAGGGAAGGAATTAATGCCACCATAACAGGAGGCACTGGCAACATCTCATCTGGATCACTGTACTTACTTTCAACCCCACAGATTAAAAGAGATTTACTGGAAGGGTTAGAAGAATAGTCAGGGAAAAGCATCCTTCTGTACAACAGGTACAGCACAGCTGGTCTGGCTGAACCCAGGCTGAGCAGGTTTTGGCAGTAAACTGAAAAGCTCAAGGGAGGGCAGACAGGAACGGACTTTATACCGGGAAAGAAATGCTCTTTAAACTGAAGTCAAAGACCTTGCAGAATGTGAGAGGTTCAGCCGGCCATGATACACATGATCTGAAATCTTTAACCATGCAGAGGAACAGAAAAACAGAGGCAAGGTGATGGCAGGGGTAGCTTCAAGATGGAGTCCAGTGTCTCTGCATGTTAAGTTGAAGAGTGCAACACGGCTGCCTGTGATAGAGACGATCAGGTCCCACAGCAGAGGAGGTCTTCTCTAGCCCTGCCCACTTTGTCAAGGACAAAGCTGGCTATGAAAGCTCTGATTTTCAAAACGTATCAAATTTACCCATTTGTCACCGGCCAGTTTATCACCACCCGCTATGTTATATTCAATGATGTTACACAAGAGTGTAAATTAATGTGAAGTGCAATACTCCTAATTATTACAGTTGGGGAGCAAATAGGGCCATGCATATGCAAATATCTAATTAGTCACATTGTGGTTGTCTGTCTGTGGAAATACCCTGTGTGACTATGAAATCATACTGCCTGCTTTGGCTTATACAATGATGTGTGTTGCCGTGAGTCTTGCATAAGGAGAATTAGACCTTCTGTTTTAATAATACTGCACCATTCTGCTCAATTCTGAGCCCTTAATCTTGCATCACAGTGAAACACTGTAACAGCAACACGTAATTGTCTATTTTTCCAATTTTCTGTTTTGTAAAATGCTAGTTCCTGACCTCTGCTGAATGTGTACAGTGGCCTACCTTGACACAATATCAGATTAATCTTAACTGAAAAGAGTTACAATGCAGCTATAACAGAAAAAAAAAGAGTATGACTTCACCTATCCATGAATTTCAGGTTTCGGTCTTCTTTTCTCAGAAGAATGTTATCGCCTCACTATGACACATTTGTAGTTTCACAAGTTGTTTGTTTTAGCCTGAGACGACCTGACCTTATTAGCTCCCTCTATTCCCTCCAGTTTTGGTGGGGTCCCAAGTGCCTCCTTAGCGGTATTGCAAAAGGAAATCCCCATAAACCACATAAATCCCAAAAAAAGCTGATGGCAAAACTGAGAAGATCTCTGTTCGGGCAGGCAGCGTTCTCCCTTTGCACAGTGCTGCCACGGGTGTCGATCGCAGCCCTGCAAAGAGGCAGAGGACGGCACAGCAGCCCGCAGGTTCTGCTTGCTCCCCATGACTGAAAGGACACCCTCACCCAGAGCACTTTTTCTGTATTTGCTCAATATTCAAGGGACCTTTTTGCTGGGATTTCCAGGGCAACATCATCACTCTGGTGCTTCTGTAATTTACAGATGAAGGGTGATGAAACAGAAATGTGGTTTGGAGGACTGGGCACGATATAGGTTTGTGTTCACTAAGGCTGGATACTTGCCTTTCTGCTCAATTTATAGGGCTAACTGTTTTCTGAATTATCCCTTCTTTGTTTAGAGGAGTGCCAGCAACAGATCGATAAAAAATGTGTTTTTATAAATACCTCGACCTTTTCTCCAGAATACGATAATTCCTTATCTTATTGCTTATACATAGCAATTCAGATTCCTCCTAATTACGAACTAATTTAACGGTTAATTTCACCTTCTTCCCCCTTTCTCAAAATGCAGACATACATATTTTTATGTACATACGCATACCTCATCAAAATTATTTCAGCGTAAGCGTGAATACTGTGAACCAAAAGTTTGGCATCCCTGCTACAGTGAAAGATGACTGCCACCTATGGGTAAGAGCTCATGTTAACATATTTAGATAAAATTTTAATATTATTCTTTTTAGTTAATTCAATTTGTAATTATCTGCCAGGACAGAGTTCTGATTCATTTGCTTATATTTTGCCAACAACGATCAGTGAAAATCATCCTTTGAAAGTTAGGTATTAAATCAACTTTCTTACGAAGAAACATCAGCTTTACGACGAATAAAAAATGGGGTACAACATTCTTATTTTTCTTATTCTGAATAAAGACTATATAGAAGTATTCTAATTCCCTGTGCAAAGAAAAAAGACTCATTGATACACAGCTAGGTAGAGCATATTAGATAAAGCTGTATTTAATGACGACTATAATTTTAAAGTTTAGCCGTCTCAAGGTTTTAATATTTTGCTTGCTGCTTTCTTTTACTAAATACATACAAACAGCTTAGCTGTGCAGTTCCATGAAAAAGTGTGCATAATCAGTATGTCATAGTAATTTTCTTTTCAAAATTTTTCATTTTTCATAGTAAAATGAAAGCTAAGTGGGGGGAAGGGAGGCAGTAGAAAAATGTATGTCCCAGTTACGTAAGCCTCAATTTTTCTGATAATCAATCTGCGCAGCATTTACCTAGAAAACTCAAAAGAAAGTACAGACTAGAAAGCCAAACTTATCATATCAAAAATAATTTTTTCCAATTCACTTTTCAGGTACCTAAAAGCAAACAGCCTGACAATTTGGTATATCCGACTACCAAAGAGAAAAACGCTCGATTACGGCTGCTATACTGTGGTAAGCTGCATTAAAATGGACATTACGATCTCTTTCTCAGAAATACCGCATGTAAAAATTGCTGGAAGTCTAGCAAATTAATGCATGTATTTCAGTTTGGGAAAAAATAATTTTGCTCCAGTAAACAGAAACTAATTGTAGCCATTATATTTCTCCCTTTTGGGGCCGGGACACAGTATTTCTGAAGGAACAAAGATAGAACTTAACAAAAGAGAACATTATATTTAAAGAGAGAGCAACTAATACAAAATAAAAGTAAGTCCAATACTAATTTTTTTTAAAAATCTCCCTTTTAAAGTAATCTTAGTTCTGGGCCTTCTCATTCATGTTGTACTTTGCTAAATATGATAATTGGCCTATCTAAAAAACCCGAAATCAGTATTACAGTACTGCTTACCTCCCCCATTTTCACTAAATAAAACTAATAATAAACCTATATTATAAACTTGCAAAATACTGTAAAAGTGGTCAGCAAATATTGCTCAAATATAGTAAATGCTCAAATATCTGAGATTCACACATCACCATTTCATGCTTGCCTTCCAACGGCATCGGTACCCTTTATAATCTACATAATTCAGATGCCTGCAGTAAAATCTTTGTGCTGCGTAGATAAAACCATCTTCTAAAAGGTAAAGTCACTGTTCCACAGTAATATATTAGTGATGTATCTTCCTGACGTATTTTGGCCAAAAATAGCATTCTTCAATTTACTTCCTTGTGTCCACTTTGGCTACTGAATCAAACTGTCACCGGTCCAGTAACATTTCCCTGTATTTTCAAACCACGGTTTAAACTTAAACCACTCAGTCTCCTTTAATGGGAACTTCATATCAGACAGAAATTACTCCTTAGCACATTTGATGAATCCAGCTTAAAATAAAACACCAGAACTGCATGAACATCTGTGACAAATGACTTGTCTCAGTCATCCTGCTCTTTCTTATTTAATCTCCCACTGGAGTACAATTTCGTAGGTACACTATTTTACAGTGCAGACCTCCTCCCACCAACCTACTGCTTGCAAAAGGAATAAAAAAAATATATTTTCCATGTGTCACTCCAAGATCTGAAGAGATTATAATTGAACCTTTCAAAATAATTAGAAGTAGGAAAATGGAAATAAACAAATAAGTTAGTACCTCAAATTTACAAAAGCAATGAAAAGGTAAAAAAACTGTAGAAAAGCAATAAAGGATTGTTAAATTAATAGATCTACTAACGGAATATGAAACAAACCCTCCTTTCCTGGTGACACATCGCTGAATTACTACTTGCATATTCTACCGGTATAAAAGAAGAGCAAAATTTTTTTATATACAGTCAGTACAATGAATTTTGAGATATTCCTATTTCAGTCTCTTTAAAACCAAGACCATGTTAAAGGACAGGGTGCTCGAAAAGATCTACATGATATTGGAAAACCCAGACAGGTTTTTCCTGATTTTTTTCTGCCAATGATCTCTGTGTTTTACAGAGGGGGGGAAAAAAAATCCCACAAATCAGGCAGTGCTCCTAATTCTCTGAAGTGCTTGTTGTTAATTTTATACCTTTACAAAATGACAAGTAAAATTCCACTTTCCAAGTAAAGAAATACAGAACATTGTATCATAGCTTTAAAAAAATATTCTTTCTGTTCTATATAGATGTCTCATCAATTTCACTTGAATGCTGCTTGTACTGTATAACACAGATTTTACTTTAAATAATAGTACTTAATGCCCATATGGATTTTTTTTGTTACCTAATAGCTTTGCTAGATTGGTCATGGATTTTTCACTGTGCTATGTATTTTTTCAGTACTTAGTTATATGCCTGCATTCTCCAACAGACGTTCAAAATATTACTGCATTCTGGTCTATTTCACTGTTTTGACACTGAAGTGCATCAGATACGCATAACATGCTTGTAGAGGCAACTCAACAAAAAAAAATGGTTACCTTCTGATGTACTGGAATGAATGGGACTTTATCCTAATGAGGGTAAACCTGTTTGTTCGTAATAATTTAGTTTATAGCTGAGAAAGAGAGCAACACACCTGGAATCACCTCACTGAAAATTCCAGAAATGTAAGGAGCTTCACAAAAAGTCTGCAGTTACCTTGTTTTTTAAGTAACCATGCAGAGCTGACAGCTATTAGCAGTAGCAAGGACTTGCATAACAAGGACTTGAAGGAAGGCTTAGTACCATCCATGCCGGAGTGATTTAAAGAGAATGAAGGCACGTATTTCTTTATGATGCATTATGTAACAACAGAGAGGGCAATGTGAGGCATTCAAAAAAACTACAGAACCCACATTTGATCTCATTCTTGTTATTTATCAGACAAATATTTCACAGTGCTTCTATCGTAAGGCTTATGAAACACCCAACATAGGAATGTTATCAGGTACAAATTAGTTTGAAATGTTTTAGGTGATGTATTCTATGTTTTGTACATCTTTAGGAAAATATAGCAGACCCTATAATTCATCTGCTTAAAACTTCTACAATACATGCAATCTCAGATAAAATAAAATTGTCAAAATCAGTGATAGCTGGACCTTCTGGTTCACATTAGTGTGAAGAGAAAACTGCTGTTGAGCTGACACATTGATAGATTACGAGTTCTGCTGAAGAATAGCTAAAAATGGTGATTCAATCTTGTCGCTACTATATAAGAAGAATAACAGAAGTGGTGATGATACTCATGATATCATGTCTTTTATCAAAACCCTAAAGGGTATTGCTGCATTGAACACATTCTCTTCCTGAGAGCTTCTGGTTCCAAAAAAATACCTGTGTAAGTAAATGAAACTAAATAGGCCTATTTAAAAACTAGGATCAGTTTGTGCCCTAAATTTATTTAAACATTGATATAATTGTAAATTATAAGAAGATTGTAAAAAGACCCTTTTTTTTTCTGTGGGGGGGTTGTCCTCTCTCTTTTTTTTTTACAGTAGAGATGCTGGTCTTGTAATGACGAAATGGAGGGCTAGGAGGATTATGAAACACAAGTAACATGAAGGGCAAATCTGACTGAAAGAGAGGGAGAATATTATTCCAATTCTTTAAAACTTCACTGGGTTTCTTTACTAACTTAAATCAATACGGCTCCCCTGAAATCTATATGGTGATACACATTCACCAAAGATGCACGTAAGATAATGTGGATCATCATCCTCTGTTAGGACAGTAAATAAAAACACTTGTATAATCATCTTTTCTAAACAGCTCCCTAATCTTTAGATATGCAAAAGAGAACTTTTAAAAGAGGCACCTTAAGTACTTCTGCTATGCTAGCCCTGGTCCTCTGTTATGTGAAACTTGCGTGGTCGTTAATGCTGAAGTGAAGTCAGGTTTAAACACTGACTTCTGTCCCTCAGTGCTTCATACTTCCCTGTGCTGCTGGAAATCACCATGGAAGGCTCAAGATGGAGGGAACAGGGCCTGGGTGGCTTGTGCCTTCCTCCCACAAAGATCACCAAATGCTCCCGGCGCTTACTTCGACACATCCAAGGAGTTCTGCAACAACAGAAGGGGAAACAAGGCTTCACAGTCCTCATCTTTCACTGAGAGGAATAACAGGTAAGGAGAAGGAGCAAACAGAAACATGGGGGAGGATGGGGGTAATGATTTCATTTTAGAGGTCCCCCTTTTCCAAAGGGAAAGAAACCTCAACACAGACTTCATCACATCACAGAGATGTAGACAGGTAGGCACCTCAGATTTCTGGTAACTCGGTAGGTTTGTTTCAAGGGAAGATTAAGCATTCATTTGATCTTTAGTTTTACTTTTACCGGGGCCTCTACAGCAAGAATTTGCAGTTTCTCCTGCAATAAGTAATGTTTCTTGTTGTATAGGAATTTCCGATTACATAAAAAAAAACCCTCCAACAAAACTGCGGCTTAAGCTGTGTTCTTAATTTGATGATGAATGGGGAAGAAAAGCAGCAAGGCAGAAAGTTTATCACCCTACTCTAAAATGTAAGAGAGAATCAGAAACCAAAATCAAATTAAAAAACCAAAAAGGTCTCAGCCCTGTTCTGTGTTTTTCCTACAGTTTTTACACATGGATTTGCCTTTTGAGTATGCAGGCCGACATCTTTAGGATATTCAGGCAACGCATTAACGCACTGTAGATACGGGAAAGAAATAAGTCAGAAATATTTGTAGGGTGTGAAGCAGTAAACAGTGACCAAGAAGAAATGATTTACGTAATGCTATCACGGCTTGACAGCAAAGTAGATTTATACCATGTCCTCTCAAGCTAGTAAGCTTGGTAACAAGTGAAATGGGTTAAATTTTCTGAGTTTGGAATGCAATTGATTTATGTTTGTTCCACAACGCTACGCAGCTCTTAAATGTACGAGCTCCTGCGGATGAAAGTCTGCTTTTAGGACAGGCCCCGCAGTGACAGGCTGCGGCATGGCAGGGAGAAGCCCAGGTAATTCTGGCGGGGCAGCGGCTGGCGATGCAGGACCCAGCAGGTACCCAGCCATCCAGCCAGCCCGCCTTACGTAAGGACTTCATTTTCCTTCGGCTACATCTCGCCGCCGCGCGAGGCACGGGAGAGGAGCCTATTCCATCTCCCCGTGCAGCCCCATCCCCTGTGCCAGGCCCAATGACCGCATCCTCGCATGTTTTAATTTTTTTAATTTTTTTTTTTTCCTTTCTTTTTCTCCTCTCCAAACAGCACATCTACAGAGTGGCGTTTACCTATTCGCTCGCGCCGTGGCTGCCACGCAACCTATCTGGGCGGCCGGCTGGCACAGCCCGCGGTCACCGGAGCGATGCCGAAGAGGAAACTCCGGGTCCCTCTTGGGGCGAGGGGCGCGCTGCGGGCCGGCTCCGGGCGGGCAGCTCTCCCTCCTCGGCGGCGGCGGCGGCGGGGATGCTCCGCTCTGCGGCCAGCGGCGGGCAGCGTCCATTGCAGCTCGGCGGGTCCGCGTCCGGAGTCCAGGGGCTCCGGCAGTCAGCGGGGGCACCCGGCCCCCGCTCCCCTAAACACCGCTGGCCAGGTGCGTTTATTTCTCATCCCGTCCTCTTCCCACAAATCCACTGTCTGCGGCCGCCGAGCCCCAGCAGGAGCCCGGCCAGCCCCCGAGTCACCACCGATCGCTCTCTCGCTCTCGCTCTCTCTCTCTCTCTCTTTCTCTCTCATTTCGAGCTCTCCCCGAGGAGGAAACAGCACGGCGGGGCCGCTCGTCCTGCATTTCACCGCTCGGGAGATGCGGCCGCCGGAGCGCTTAAAACAAAGCGGAGAACAGTCACTTTCCACACTGTTCCCTTCCCTTCCCGCGCCGAGGAACGCGGCTGGCTATGGGAGCTCGCCTAGCAGGGATGAAAAACAAGGGGGGGCGAGGGCAGGAGAACCCACCCACCCAACCCGGAGCCCCCCGGCTGCTCCCCGTTCCCGGCGCATCCCGGCACACCTGACAGCCCGCCGCGCGCGCTGTATTTCCCTCCCTTAGCGACAGGGGAGGCGCGCGCCGGCCGCGGCCCCGCCATTGGCGGAGCGCAGCGGCGCGGCGCGGCCATTGGCTGCGGCGGCGGCCAATGGGGAGCGCTGTATCCGGGAGGCAGCGGCTGCGGAGCTATTTAAATCCTGGCCGGTGATGTCAGCGCGGGCGGTGCGGGGGGAGCGGCGGGGCGGCCGCGCCTGTCAGGCCGCGTTTAGGAGCAGCAGGGCCGCCGCCCCCTCGGCGGGGAGCGGAGCGGAGCGGGAGGGAGGGGCCCGCCGCACCCGCA